GTTAGCAGACCTTCCTTCCAGTGGCAGAAGTCTTTAGGGAAATATGCATTCCTGTGTTTGAGTGTTAGAGTTACTCTGTTGTTGTTGGTAGGTGCTGTCCAGTCGGTTCCAACTCATAGCGACCCTATGCACCACAGAGCAAAACCCTGCCTGGTCCTGCACCATGCTCACAATTGTTGTTATGCTTGAGCCCATTGCTGCAGCCACTGTGTCAATACATCTCTTTGAGGGTCTTCCTCTTTTTCGCTGATCCTCTACTCCACCAAGCATGATGTCCTTCACCAGGGACTGATCCCACCTGACAACATGTCCAAAGTATGTAAAATGTAGTCTTGCCATCCTTGCTTCTAAGGAGCATTCTGATTGTACTTCTTCCAAGACAGATTTGTTCATTTTTCTGGCAGTCCATGGTATATTCAACACTCTTTGTCAACACCGCAATTCAAAGGAGTCAGTTCTTCTTCGGTCTCCCTTAGTCACTGTCCAGCTTTTGCACCCATATGAGGCGACTGTGGAAATGTGGAAATAACCTAAATGTCTATCAACAGAGGAATGGATAAACAAAATGTGGTATATACGCACCATGGACTACTACTCAGTCATAAAGAAAAATGAAGTCCTGATGCATGCCACAACATGGGTGAATCTTGGGAAAACATGCTGAGCAAAACAGGTCAGTCACAAAAGACAAATATTGTATGATCTCATTTATATGAAATAAGCAAATATATAGAAACCAAAGCTCATTAGTGGTTCCCAGGAGTGGGAAGAAGGGGAAAAAGGAGGAGTTTCTGCTTAGGGGCGCTGAGGTTATGTTAATAGTGGTAGAATAATTTGGAAAAGGATAGTGGGAATGGTTGCACAACTTGAAGAATGTAATCAATGTCACTGAATTATACATATAGAAACTGTTTTTTTTAAACAAAATAATAAACAGCCTTCTAATAAAAAAATCCCACAAACCAAGACCAAAACAAACAAAATGGGAAATATTTGTAAAATATGGTATTTCCTTAATGTATATAATTTTTACAAATCACTAACATAAAGATGAATATTCCAGGGCAAAGACTATGCACTGTAGTTTACAAAAAAGAAAAAAAGTGACAATATTTTATTTTTAGCCTATCATTTGGCAAAGATTAAAAAGTTTATTAACACCCAGTGTTGACAAGAGTATGAAGCAACAGGCACTACTTACGGGAATGTCAACTGGGACTTTTCTGAAAGACATCCTGCAATTTGTATCAATATATAATTAACACTTATAGGAATCTGTTCTAAGGAAATAGGCAAGGGTACAAAAAACCGTATGCACAAGATATTCGTTACAGCTCTTTATATAACAGCAAAAAAATGAACAACTTTTCTGTTATAGGGGGACTATTAAATAAATTAAACCTGTGCAAAAAAAAAAAAAAAAAACCCATATTAAAAAAAAAAGACCATATAACTTTACCATTCTCTATTGTCACAGATTGAATTGTGTCCCCCAAAAATATCTTGTCAGTTTGGCTGGGTCATGATTCCCAGTATTGTATGATTGTGTTATCTGATGTGATTTCCTTACGTGTTGTAAACTGTATCACTATGATGAGATTATATGTGATCTCCTTATGTGTTGTAAATTCTATCACTGTGATGAGGTTATACTGACGAGGTTGACAAGATTAGTGTCTTAAT